GGAAACCAAAGAGAGTGTCTTTTCCATAGATCCCACTAGTGCACCAGGACCCGATGGACTAAATGTCCAATTTTTCAGAATTGTTGGCCAATAATTGCGGAGGACGTACACAATGTTGTGTTGGCTTTCTTCAATGGTGCAAACATCCCCAGATTCTTTTCACATACTTGCTGAGTCATGCTACCCAAGGTTGATTTTCCATGGAATCTGTTCGACCTTAGACCAATCAGCTCATGTAATGTGACAAGTAAAATAATATCAAAGATTTTGAATGTTAGACTCGTTCAAGTGCTGCCAGAGATAATATCTACAAACCAGTCGAGCTTTATTAGAGGAAGACAGATATCAAAGAATATTATGCTGACTCAAGAAATCAAAAATGGCATTCAGGACTCAAAAATAGGGCAATGTAGTCATAAAGCTTAATATGACCAAGGCATATGATAGAGTTGCTTGGCCATTTTTGTACCAGATGATGAGGAAGTTGGAATTCTCAGAGCAATGGGTTGAATTGATTCACAGACACATTTCATGTAATTGGTACTCAATTATCGTGAATGGTCAAAGACATGGTTTTTTCAAGTCATGGAATGGATTAAGAGAAGGAGATCCAATATCCCCCTCGCTATTTGTTATAAGTGTTGAACTTCAGTCGATATTGTTGAATAAGCCACATGAAAATAGAAAGTTCACTGGCTTCTCGATGAATAAAAGGGGACCTCAAATTAACCACTTAGCTTTTGCAGATAACGCCATTCTCTTTTCTAGTGGTAGAAAGAGAACTATCAAGTTGGTGATGAATACTTTGGCAGTCTATAAAGATATCTTTGGTCAACTGTTAAACAAGACTAAGAGTTATTTCTTACTAACTCCAGATGCTTTAGGAAGGAAGGGCATTAGATTGGCCAGATGGACTGGAATGAAGCAGCAAAAGTTTCCAATTAAATACCTTGATTGTCTGCTATTTGTGGGTAGGCAAAAAATCGCGTATTACTCAGAAATGATTATTAAGGCAACTAGCAGGATTAGAGGTTGGCACTCCAAACTACTCTCTCCAGGGGAAGGCCATATTGATTAGGCATATTCTTCTTGCTCTTTCCGTGCATTTGATTTCAACATTGCAACCTCCAAAAGGTGTTCTAGTTCAAATTGAGAAGTTGTTAGCAAACTTCTTTTGGAGCTCCGCAGATGGGTCAGATAGACACTATTGGGTTGCCTGGTCTAAGTTATGTTATCTGTACGAAGAAGGGGGACCAACTTCAGAAGGCTACATGATACGTGCAAAGCTTTTTCTGCCAAAACATGGTAGAAACTAAGAACTAGAGATTCAACATGGAAGGAATTTATGTTGGCCAAATACTGCAGAAGACACCACCTAGTGATAAAGAAAGCAGGTAAAGGGGCATCACATAGCTGGAAGCAATTATGCAAAATAAAAGACAAAGTAGAAGAGCACCTAGTATGGTTAGTTGGGAAAGGTGAGATTTCATTTTGGTATGATAATTGGACAGTAGAGGGACCACTATGTAGTCATATAAATGAAGGAGTGATACCTAAAGACATCAAGTTGAAGGAAGTACTCATTAATGGTGGCTGGCATAAAGGAACCACCGGGATTCTATGGCCAAACTCACTCAGAAATTCACTGCAAAATATTGTAGTTGAGTTGGACACTGAAAAGCCCGACAGACCAATATGGACACCGGATAGTAGAGGACAATTCTCAGTATCATCAGTCTGGAAAATATTTAGATAGAGAAGAAGCATATCTGCAACAGATACAAGGATATGGCATAAGTCAGTTCCTTTCAAGATGGCCTTTCTCACTTGGCGAGCATTACATAATCGATTACCTACGGATAAGAGTCTCGATGATTGTGATTGTGTTAATTCCTAAGTGCGACTGCATAGAGCATTTATTTTGCTCAGGCACATTTGCATTAACAATCTGGTATTTGTTTGCGCATCTTTTGGCATTAATTGCAGGAACACTCAACTGATACAGCTACTATATTCGTGGTGGAACCTGAAAACTATTAATACAGTATCATCATTCATTACCAAGGTGCTGCCACAAATCATACTATGGGAATTATGGAGGTCCAGATGTGCTAACAAATATGGAGAAGAGCTCCTTTCTATCCAAAGATCTGTAGTGTTGATTGGCTCCAATCTTTCAGGCATAGTAAAGCAAAGGTTTGGACAGGTGCAAATGGAGTCAACATGGAAAAAGTTGCAAGATATCATTGATCAACCAATTAACTTTAGAATAGTCAAGATAGTAAGATGGTCTAAACCCCTCATGATATTTTATAAATTATACAGTGATAGAAGTTGCATGGAAGGGTCTTGTGGTGCAGGAGGGGTGATTAGAGATCATTGCGTAAACTTTATAGTGGCATACTCCTTTTATATGGGTAAAGGCACTAGTAACTGGGCAGAAGGACAGGCCATGCTCATTAGATTACAACTGTGCACAGCAAAAAGGAATTGATAATGTTGAGGTTGAAACAGAATCGAAAGTATTAGTGTCAGCCGTCAATGAAGAATCAAATTCGCCATGGAGGCTACTTCAAACGGCTGAGAAAATTAAACAAATATTGAAAGAATGAGGGGTAAAAGCTAGACATTACTACAGAGAAGCTAACAAAGTTGCAGACAAGTTAGCAACACTCAGCCACATTCACAAGCAACAAATAATTTTCTATGACTTTGCTGGATTACCAAGGGAAATAAGAGAGTTACTTTAACTGGATAAGTTGGAAGTGGCTTCATTTAGAATTTGGCAGATGAAAGCATCGAAAATTCACTTTGAGCCACCATGATGTATGTTAGTAGCTAGTAACTGTAGTAGGAATCTAGTAGAGCTTCTTTGACAAATATCCATAGAGCTTGAATACAACTTTTCAACTGCTAAGAAGGGTTAGGTCTTATGAATACCGTTTAAATTAAAAATAAAAAATAAAAAAATACAAGGACTTAACCACGTTTATCATACGGAACATTCTGAATATAATTTGGTGAAAACGCATTGCTTACTCATTCCACGTATGGCTAGTTGTAATTGGCGGTTGGATATTCCTCTTGTTTTATCATGATTTGCTTATATTTAGCTTCAAGAGAGTCCACTAAAATTGTTGTTTTAAATAAGGTCATAAGCTCGAAATTCCCTCCATGCCTTTTCGATTGAGCTCGTTGAATGAGACTTGTCTAGTGCGATTTTTCTTTCCAGTGTAATTTGGGAGCTATTGCATAAGAGCGCGATTTACTTTGAGTGCACTCGAAGGGTAACAATTATAAGTTCCCTAGTTTTTTTTTAAAAAAAAGAAGGTCAATATGGAAAAGGAGGGGTGTTTGGGGGTGTTTGGGGTGGGGGGGCATGTTGTACTATCAAAAAAGTTTTGTGGCGTCTGTTTTCATAAAGTTTTCTAAACACTTGTGGAGTAGTTTTTCAGTTTTTTCTAAAAATCTAAAATAATTTCTGTAATGACATTTGGTTGAAAATTAGTTTTTCTAAATATCTATTTAATTTTCTTCTGCTTAATCAAGATTCGTACCTTGTCTTCTCCATAACTTATTAATAACACTTTTTCTTTAATTGCTATACCCAAAATTTATTATCGTATTCATGCAATCCATGTGATTACCCTATAAACCAAGTAAATATACATCCTCCATATCTTCACTGACCTGTATTACCAAAATATCCACCTTTTTTTTCCACACATAATGGACTCATATATTTTAAATAGTTTTTCCTCTCAGATTTTGTTACACCCCAAAATCATCTAAATAAGAGAAAAAGGGCAAAAACCTTTATTGTTTTTATTTCATTTACCACTCTTGCAACCTTAACCCTCTCAAACCCTCAAAACTTTTTTTGTGTTTTTAATCTCATTTTGGACAGGCAAAATTAACCTAAGGTATGTCTTCTTCCTCTTCTAATTATCCTTTTCATGTTCATTTTACTTTTCTTTTCTTTCCAACAAATAAATTCCAATAGATCTAAAAACTTAATCTTTCAAATGTGTATTACTTTCTACATGTGGAAAGAAAAAAAGAGAGTAAAAAAGAAGGAATTAGAGTTCCAATTTGTTATCATAAAAAGGAAAATACGATTTTTTTTATAGGTCCAATGCAACTTATGAGCAAATTGACTGACTAGCACATGTGTATGTTTACTTTGATTGTGCTATGCCTTAATTAGAGTTTTTGAATTTGAGTCGTAAGACATGGAATCTTTAGTAAGGTACACTTTACTCTTAAGCAAATTTAATAAGTGCGAATACAAATTAGTCAAGCTAATAAACTTAAAATTTGTAGCACCCCAGCCCACTAGTGATATGTCTGCTAAAACGCGTTATTTGGGTCTAATGCATGTTTAGTTATATAATCAGTATTTTTTCCGTGTTTTGTCGATGTAGTATTTGCGTAGGGTATCACATACACCCCCTTAGGGATTCAACATCCTCGTTGAGGTTTGCCTCAACACCGTTCAAAATTGCACGCGAAGCGACTGTTTAATTATATACTCGGCATCTCTCGTGTTTTGTCGACGTGGGATTTAACTAGGGTGTCCCAAAACCCCACGGTTAAACCGAAAAAAGCAGAAGAAGAATATCATAACGTAGAAAGGTAGCAAAAGGGTAGAAGAAAAGTTGAGGGACCAAAGTCCAAACAAACAAAGCCAATACAAGATTATTAATAACGTGGCATTCTGAAAACAAACCATAAAAAAGTGGCTTTACATTTGTGTGTATAGATTTGTTTCTGAATCTCAAGTGTAACGTATTTCTCGTAGTATGACCTTTCTTCTATCTCAGAAGAGAGAGAAAAAGAAATACAGAAAGAAAGAAAAAAAAGAAAGTATATTCTGCCAGATAAAAATGAGAGACATAGAAGCTGGCTAAAGAAAAAGTTGAAATATATTGAAAATTAAACAATATTTTGNCTATCTCAGAAGAGAGAGAAAAAGAAATACAGAAAGAAAGAAAAAAAAAAGTATATTCTGCCAGATAAAAATGAGAGACATAGAAGCTGGCTAAAGAAAAAGTTGAAATATATCGAAAATTTAAACAATATTTTGTAGTAACATAAACTTTTTTCATCGACCCTTTATCTTAAATTCATCTATATTGGGATAAAGGGCGATGTTTTATATCTTTAGCCACTTTATTACATGCAAAACAAACCCAAAAGGTTCGAGTTATATATTGTTTTCTGGAAAAATATTATATTTAATTGAATTTGTATATTGTGCATGTAATTTGTTGTGATAATGTGATTTTTTTTTCATTTTTGATTGCAGGGTTTTCATTAATGCAGATAGAAGTTGGTTTTTGAATTTCTGAAACTTAAATTGTTAATCCTCTCCATTTTTTTTTTATAAAAATGAGAGGAATATCTGATAATGTTCATGGAGTTATATTAGCTATATCATCAAGTATTTTTATTGGATCAAGTTTTATTATTAAGAAGAAAGGCCTTAAAAAGGCTAGTGCAACAGGAACAAGGGCAGGTACACTTTCTTGATCTCCTCATTTGCATAATTCTTTTTAAATCTTTTGCATTCTTTATGGTATTGTTGGATATATAAATATTAACTTCATTGTCTTACATTGGTACCAAATTGGGTAGTTTTATGTATGTACACCTATGGTTTAGACAATGTTGTACCTAGGATGGATTTTGTGCAAGCACTGTCGAGGGTATGTTGTTTTTATTAGTCGAGGGTCTATTAGAAATAGTCCATCTATCTTACGCAAGGCAGGGATAAGATCTGCGTACATACTACCGTCCCCGGACCCCACATGTGAGATCATACTGGGTATGTTGTTGTTGTTGTAGTATTGTCGGCCTATTATCACAACTCGACTTGTAAGTAGGTTTTGATTTGGGGCTATAGAGGTTCTAATGCTTTACTTCTTGTCTCAAGTTGACGCTTACTTTGCATTTATTTTCAATCGGTGTCGGTCTATTGTATATATATATATATATATATATATATATATATATATATATGCGTGTGTTTGTGTGCGTGAAAATTTTTGGCGAAACAGTGTCACATGACACCCCTTATAGAAGGGTGTCTCCGCCACGACCTCCAATGTGTTCAGGAACATGTAATTTGTCCTTGTAGAAATTGGTTATTTTTCTTGTGTTTCTTACTTACATGCCAACATGCAAGTCATGTTAATATTGTTTTTTTTTGGTTGCTATATAAAGTTCATGTAGTTGACCTCAATTTGTTTGGGACTGAGACGTTGTTGTTGTTGTTGCTCTGCAATGTTCTAAAACACTTGTATTTAGAGTTCGTGGCATACACATGTCTGAAGTTGGAACAAACAACTTAGTTTCTGTTTTCATAGGAAGCTTTTGAACGATGAACATTACTATATGATTGTAATCACCTAAAAACATTTGGTGAATTAGGAATTTCAGCACAATTGCTATTAATGGAGATTTTGCCTTTGCATTGGGCGTATCGTTAGTAATGTTATCTATTGTTTCTATTGAGGCTAGGATAAACTGTTCTGTTATATTGATTTCTAAGTAAGGTTAATTTTTGAACAGGTTCAGGAGGCCACTCTTATCTGTTGGAACCAATGTGGTGGGCTGGGATGTTAACTAGTAAGAGACATAACTCAAACTTAAATGT